AGCAATAATATTAATAACAATAATCCAAATTATTCGCAAACGAACGGGGCGTCACACATCCAATAAATTGAAGGGTCCTTTAGCGATCATTGTATCAATTGCAATTAGCCCTGTGATTTGTTATCTTTTCAAAGTCTTGCATGCCATTTTCTTTTACTATTTGATAATAGATCTATGTTGGAAACTTGCCACTTAGACCTACATTATTATTTATTTATTTATTTATTTGCTTTTTGGTTATCTTGGTTGGCAGTTGTTGGAGAGCAAAATACAGGAAGCTAAGTCTAAGAAGGATACGTTAAAAGCAAGAGCTCAGACTGCAAAGTTTGGCCCCGACTGTGTTTATACCTTTTCTTCTGATTTCCCCTAATCAGTTTATTTGAATTAGCTTACCTGGTTATCTTTTCTTTAGGACTGCAACAAAGGTGAGCGAAATGTTGGGGAATGTAAACACGAGTAGTGCTTTGTCTGCTTTCGAGAAGATGGAAGAAAAAGGTAAGTCGTACCGCATCATGCTCTTGATGCAAGACAAGCTTCATACTTCTTACTATATTTGTTGTACCGGCATCCTGTATTATAGTCAGGTGTTCATATTACCATGTTCCTTATGGCATTAATGATTGTATCTTTGTAGCAAAACACAGTAATTTCCCTCAGACATGGCCTTAAAGGTTGTTGACAATTTCACTGAATGGGATGAGTTAATAATTAATTCCGATTGTTCTTGTTACATCATTCATGAGTGGCTGAGAGTGCTCTGGCTGTGAATTATGCTATTCATGAATGACTGATATTTTAGCTTAGCTCATTGATATAGACTTGTAGTTGCTTTAGGAGGGCTAGTGATACCACTCATCAACAATGAAATGGATTAATAAATGTGAGTTATGGCTTGCCTGGGTCTGTTATTAAAGATGATATTAACTTTGGAATTTGATATCTTGTATCTTCATATGGTTCGACTATATTGTTTAGATGGGTCGATGATGAGTAATTTCTCTAACTATTTTTGCAGTGTCTCAGTCTGGCATTATGCTGTTTAATTGTTGGTTTTTTTCTCTCGAACTTGCTTGGTTTCACCTATGCATCTCCGAGTCCTTGATAATGCTGTTTTTTGTTGTTTTTCCTCTCAAACTTGCTTGGTGTCATGGATGCATCTGAGTCCTTGATAGACTATGAACAACATGATAAAAACAGTAAACCGGCTTATGTATATATTACAGCCCAAGTTGCCTCATGACATGTAATTTTCTTTTATCTTCTCAAACAGTTATGGCTATGGAATCTGAGGCTGATGCGCTTAATCAGTTGACCAGTGATGAACTTGAGGGGAAGGTATCTGGATGTACTCTAATTACATAAGATGAAACTATTCAACTCTTTTGGTTTGTCTTCGAGTGCATTGATAATTTATAGTTGCTGATCTGATTATTGGCATCTATGTAACTTAAGAAAGTGATAAAGATTGTTGTACTAGCAAATAGCAATCTTCTGCTTAGCTCCGTTTGATGATATTAATTGAATGTGGACAGAGTTTTCCTAATTTGATACCCAATTCACTCAGAACCAACCAAGCAAGCTCCTCCCTTTCGGTCACTTGTTATTTGCTTGTACTGTTAGGAACTTCTAAATTAATAAAAAAAAAAAGAAGAAAAATCATTTTTTTTTCTTTTTTGCTTTATTGGCTCACTACTGTTGCTGGTGAAATTTGCTGGTTGGAAGCTTTTAAGTTCTGTACCAGGCCCCTATAGAAAAATATTAAATATATCGCATTCAGAACCGATTATCTACCCTATTATTGTAATATAACTCGTTGAGATTACTTGCATATCCTATAATAGCTTATCAACTCATTTTTCGTAGTTTTGTTATAGCTCTTTGTTTTTCAATTATTTCTGTTTGAGTTCACGGGACGAGCAGCAAAATGCGAGTGTAATAACTTACCCAACAGTGATATTTCCTTGTATATAACTAGTTTACTAGATAAGATTGTTATCTGGTTTCTCCTGTTTGTAGTTTGCATTGCTAGAAAGTTCTTCAGTTGATGATGACCTCGCCAGCTTGAAAAAACAGCTCTCCGCAAACACAAAGGTACTCTTCTTGAAGTTATCTTCTCTTCGTTTCTTTCTTTGTTTTTTAAATACGAACAGTCGAAACCCTCAAATCCAACTATTAACAAACATGCCTTGTTCTTTTTTCTTTTCCTTTTGTGGTGATCCAGAAAGCAGAGCTTCAGCTTCCAGCAGGAAGAGCGCCAGTTACAAGCTTGAAGTTTCAAGATGCTGAAATCGAGCATGAATTGAACGAGTTAAGGCAAAAGGCTAAGGAATATTGAGCATGAGTCTTTAATATGTTGGGTACAGTCACTGGGTGATTATTCAGTCCTGTTAATACCATTTATGGCGCGCTCAATGTGGCCAACTTTGTAGTTTGTACATAACATGTTAAACTATAGGCTTTCCAAAATTTTCTACACTTGTTGGATTTTTTTGTACTCTTTTTATTATAGTATCTCGAAGCCCATTTCAATCCAAGTGTATTAGAATGCTCGCATTTTTTTTTTCCTTTGGCTTTAATCGTTGATGCTACCATTACCGAATCTCAAGAACCTAACGAAATGAAAATGCAACTCCAATTGATTGTTATTTTTTTCGCAACAGTGCAGTATCATGTAAATGCTCATATAAATTGTTTTGTTAATATAAAATGTATGTGTTGTTGATCTATGATTTTGGGTTTGGAATGAGTGTATTATTGGTTCATGGGGTTCTGATGTGGACATTAATAGCTGCCTGAATATCAGAGCTATTGTCATCCCTAAATGATCAAACGCATTCTGAAGTCATTCATCATCTTATCTGAACTAAAAACCTTACATTTCTTATCTCATTCTCAAGACTAGCAAATTAAATGTGACAGCAACCGGCAAAAAAATAAGAACGAAAATCGGTTAATCGTTGCCTTTATTCACTCACTCGTACACCATGTTACATTCTTAGTGACAATGAAAGAGGGGCACCAGGGAAATGTAACCATATTGCAGAATAATGAAGCCCAAACCTAATGGAAGAATCTGAAAAATTCGTTCTTAACGACAGAACAGAAAGAAATTCACATGGCGGACATAGTAAATCATGGTCAAATTCAACTTAAGACCAACGAGAAAACAAATTACTAGAGGCTCATATGCGGTTCAAAATTACTGACTATAAATAATAATAAAAAAAAAAAAAAAAAAAACTCCCGCATCCTGACAATCATGTAGCAATCACCCTTCTACCATACTTTTCATTTCAACGGCATCTGAGTTCATGGTTGAATCACAAAAAGAGGCTGTGCAAAGAAAGGGATTGGTAAGGACAACATGAAAGAAGAGAAATTTGTGACTTACTAATGACTGAGGCCACAAGATAACTTACGGTGCCAACACTGACGGGCTTCCCATCTTCTACTAGGATCTCAACTAATGTACCAGATTGATCAGCCTGCAATTTAAGTATTATTTCCGTAAAAGTCAGAAATAAGCAGATTATGTGCTAAACCAATATTTTTATCTGTTCGTACTCGACTGTAACTTGTGTTGACAGGTCAGATGCACTGCTACTTATTCAACATAGTAAATAAAATGTAGTGCTTACTTCAATCTCATTCATCAATTTCATGGCCTCGATGATGCAGAGGACCTGTCCCTTCGTAACGGTATCCCCAACCTGCAATAAAATGTATTTAGAGAGAGAGATAGATTAAGGGTTGTACTACTTTATTCATACATCAGAACATATGTTTATCTAAGCTCTCTTTAAAAATCAATACTTCCTTTCATATTTGTTTGTCTTTTTAAAAATTGCATTTTTAAGGAGGTATTTGTAGTTTTGAAGTATAACTGCATTTTTTTTCTCGTAATTAGATAAAAAAATCAAGGTTGTGTTGAAGAATATTCCTTAAAGTATGAAAGAACCGTTCACCTAAATACACACGAGTTCGTGTTGTGAGACACAAAATTCATGTCATTTACCTTGACAAATGGCGGTTCACCAGGTGCTGGACTGCGGTAGAAGGTTCCTGCCATAGGGCATTTAAAAGGTGGATAAGATGACTTGGGTGCTTGAGGTGCAAGTGCTGGAGTTGACTTAGGAGAAGGCGGTGCATTTGGAACTGTAGACACTGTAGGGACATGGACAGGAACTGGAGGCGTAATCACAGTCTGAGTCTGAGTCTGAGGGTGTGCCTGAACGTATTGAACAGGTGGTGATGGCAAAGCCTCCTTTTTACGTATTAAGATTTCACAATCAAGTTGTTTCACTTGCAGTTCCACAATGTCCTTGGAATCAACCATTCTGCATTATGAGAAATGATATCATCTAATTTATATTCAGCTGAAATGGGGAAAGAGGTTTGACCAAACAATCGAAAAGGCCAAATTATCTTTCACTATAACAAATACACCCTCTTATACCTCACAAACATCTACTTGAATTTTCTTTTATTCTAACTAATGCAATCCTTTTTCAGGATTCAACTAAACCTCAAGTGTTTTTTGTAATCAGGTCTAAGACAATGTTAGAATGCATACTTGACAAGGCTGGAAACTTGATTCATAAATTCTGAGAGTGAGTCTTCTGATGCCAAAGCTGGCTCGTTTGACAGCTTGGCTTCGGACAGAGTTCCCTCTGCTTTTATAGCACTTTCCGGCGGTCCATCCACGGCAACCTTAAATTCAACAGATGGTTCCAAAAGCTTTTCCACAGAGGAATGAAAATTCGAAAATAGTTGTTTGATCGAAAGCCACGTGTAAAAAGGTACCTCGTTCAATTGAGCTCTTACCACGGCAGAACAGTTCCGGCCAGGCTGAATGCTCTACAAAAATGAGAATGAAATCAATGAAGCAAAACACTTGAAACATAAGAGCATGATTGGATACAAAATTATCTCTTAATTTCATCTTCATTCAAAATCATAAACAGGAAAACTGAGATCCATCAAACAAAACACTGGCTAACCACATGCTAAAATCGAAAGCAGATAAAATAGAGATGTGCCATCAATGTGTGACGAAAACGAGACATCAATTACTTAGTCAATTCATTCATAATCGCCAAGTTTAGAAAGTGTACTACCTTGGAGTAGAGGCGGAGGCGGAGCCTGGTGGAGAGGCGGAGGGTCACCTTGTCCGAATGGGAGAGATGAGGCAAATGCCGGCGGCTAATCGGCAAATAAGCGTTGGTATTCTCGGCTGCCGCCAACGCGGTCGCAGCTCCAAACGCCGCTGCCATTGCGCTCGACTCGCGAAAAATGAGGAGGTAAAAAAAAAGAAAGTGTCAGGGTTCGGTTGTGAAGATCGGAGGAGCAAATGCGCCGCTTGAAATAGCAGCGGCGATGAAAACGAGATAAAACGGTGATACGCGTTTTGTATGTACTTTGTGCTGTGTGGGAAGTACCTCTGCACTGCTGTTGGTTGACTGGCTCTGGCAGTTTGGAGTTTGGATTATGAAACGTGGCTTGGGAAAATAGTTTTAAAATAAAATAAATGAAAATTAGGCATATTTGTTTATGAGAAATGCTATGATCCATTCCATCAGGTGTTTTAACCATTAGATCATCTATCTTATCTAACTACACGTGAATCTTACAGTTGAAACACTAGACAAGATAGTACTGTAACATTTTTCCTAGACCATTTTCATTATCCACCAAATCGTCCTCTCTTTTATTATCGATCGAGTTCCTCAAGTCTCTCGTACTAGTCATCACGAAAACTTTTAATCTACCGGATTGCTATTTGTCACCCATAATCTATACTCCTTCATCTATACGAGCTCCAACCCCAAGTTAATGAATACATAACCGACCCATCAAGGCTATTACCCAAACTAATAAACATGCCATTGGCTCGTCGAGCTACTTTATGGTGCTATATCAAATATAGTTATATGTGTTCAAATATAATTATTATGTTAACACAGTTTAAAACTATTACTCGGATAAATAAAAATATATATTTATGCAACTAGTTTTATCATTACTAGTGCATGGCCCGTGCGATACACGAAAAAATAATATTACGATTGTGTTATAAATTAAATATACAAAATAAATGAATCAAGATTTACCCATCGTTTTAAAATTAAACCTTGTTGGATACAGTCCGACCGGATGGACCGAGAACCAGTTTATAATTAGTCTAGTTCACTTGAATAAAATATTTGCTATTGAATCCGTCAACACCAGTCGGTTGAACTGGTAGGATCGATACGATTTTCTAAATAAATTTTGTTATATTTAAAATTATTTTAAATAAAATTAAATAAAATAGAGATTTATAAATTGTTTATCAATTAATATAAATATTTGAATTTTTAAATTGTTTAGATATTTAAGTAACACATTTTATTCAAATTTATTACAAAAAGTACCATATATATATATATATATAGCATATTTTTAAAGAAAACAATAAATTGTATAATTTTTATAAATTGTATGATTATATTAAAACATATATTTATAAATTAAATTGTATGAATTTTAAATAAAAAATAAGAAAAATTATAAAACTCTATTTATGGGTTGCATTAAATGCTGGCCTATTTTTTGTTACTAATTTTAGTAAATAAGATGGCTTGTATAGATAGATTGTTTTTAAAATATGACTTTTATAAATATTGGAAGATATGAAAGGTTGCTTATTTGTTTTATTATTATTATTATTATTATTATTATTATTATTATTATTATTAAGAACCACAATAAAATTATTTTTCTTTCGTTGTGTGTGCCACATTCTGGTTGATATATTTACAGCCACAAACACGAGAGAGAAGAAATATCCATCTGCCATTATAATTCCAACCAACCTTCCTCTCTCTCTCACACACACAATTCACGCACTACGATGGCTTTGCAGGTCTACAGAGCAGCTCCAAGGACCGCAGTGCCGCAGAGCTCCGCGTCCCACGGGATTATTACCTCCAGGCAGCAACCCGCGGTCTGCGTCGCACCCGATTACCTCCAGCTGAATGTGAAGAGGACAGCGAGGCGGCTGACCACGGGGTTTCCAGCTAGGGCGAGCCTTGACTCCACGGCAGCGGCGACGGCGACGGCAGATATCGGCCAAGTGACGGAGGTGAATAAGGACACATTTTGGCCGATTGTGAATGCCGCCGGTCCTAAGACCGTCGTCCTCGATATGTACACTCAGTGGTATTTTTTTCTCTTTATTAATCTTTTTATTTATTGGACTAATTTTTATTACAATTAGCTACCGGAAAAAAAAAAA